TCAGAGAGCCACAAGGGCGCATCCCCTGCCAGCCCCCGCTGCCGCCTCCCGCCCCGGCCAGGGGGCTGATCCTGCCACAGATGAGCGGGGGGCACGGGGGGCCTTTTGCTGCGAGCTCGTCCTCCAGATAGGGGTGCATCTGCCTCCCGCCAGGGCCCTGGGGGGAATGATGCTGGCAGGAGGTGGGGGGAGCGGTCCGGCAATGGGGACAGGTGGGCAAGAGCCAGCAGGACCAGGGCCAGCAGCATGCTGAGGGCCACCGGGGCAGGGGGCTTCAGCCCCGTCCTTCGCCACAGTCGCTGGGCCTGTGGGGAGAGAAAGGGAGAGCATTACCAGGGGTCCCCATGGGTGCCATGGCCCAGGGATCCCCCAGACCTGTGTGCCCCCCACCCCAGGCAGAAATCTCAATCAGCTTAAAGGGGTTTGCTTTGGAGGAGCAGCCCCTCCGCTTGTGCGCTCCCCGGGAAAGCTGCTCCCCGAGAGCTCGCTGCCTCCGCAGCACTGCAGCAGGAGAGGTGCAGCTGGTGGCGTGATTTGTGCCAGAAATCAGCTGCGGTCCCTTCCAGCAGCAGGTCAGAGCAAGGGCTGACCCCTAAAGACAATGCCATGCCTGCAGCACTGATATATACAGGATCACCTTACGGGTGGTGAATTCTTCATGGTCAAATATTTTGCTTTAAAGACTCAAGAAATGAAAAAGAAAAAAAAATAAATAGACCAAACCAGAACAAACTCTTGGCTGGCTGCAAATGCTTTCCAGTTCCTAAGAGGTTTTTATCTTCAGACCTTACTCTGGACACCCTCAGTGGCTCCTACCCTGCTAAGCCGGACCCCCGCACCCTTGTTCGGAGGACACCTCAACACGTGCCGAGACATGGCCTCTGGAGCTCTGCCCACCGCTACGTCTGGCAAAAGCAAGGCAGCTGCAAGTGCCAGCCGGCAGCTGTGGCAGCCTGTATTTAACAAGGATGCAAACTGCTGTATCTGAAACCTAAAACTTGCTGATTCCCAGCACCAAGGAACTGCCTTTACACAGGTACTACCAAGTTTTAGTGTAAAAATCTTTATACAGACAGCTTTTTTTCCGCCCCCCCACTTTTAGTCATACTTTCTACTCTGAAGGGACTTACAAAAATTACATAGGCTGGAAAGGCAGTTAGGAGAAAATACTGTGCAAGTCTCCCCACGTTCCTAAGCCAATGTATATCTTCTTTGGCCTAAAGCAATCCCATGAGTATGGTGCCGGGGCTGCCCTGAGCACAGCACCTTCCCATGCGGGGTGAGGTGGAGGGAAGCAAGGGGCAACGCTGGGAGATCCCCCCCAGCCCACCCCATCCCTGGGCCACGCTGCGCCCCTGCCACATTCACCCAGGCTCGGGTGGTGTAAAACACTTTGCGGGGCTGGAGCGGCGAAAGGCACCTTGGCACCGCTTCTCCACTTTACAACCGGCATTTCCAAGTGGCTCAAACCCACGTTGGAAGTCAAGGCAACGTTCAAGTGGATACATTTTTTTGCAATTATTTATTTTGGAAGCGCAAGTATATCCATGGCAGACACAGAGGAACAATATATTGCCAAAGAAGGGATAAGAGATTGTTTATAAGAGGAAAAGCTTGAAAAAAAAAAAGAGCTAAAAAGCTGGGGCGGGGGGGTGCGAGTCAGCAGCCAGAATGACTTCCGAAGGCAGCTGGGCGAGCAGAAATATTTCCAGCCACAGGGCTTTTCGGACCGCAGGCTCCCACCAGCTCCAGGGACCCACCACCAGCACGACTCCAGCCCCAGAGGAGCTGCCCTGGGTGACCCAGCACGTGAGCCCCTTCATAAACTAATCCAACACTCTCCTAAAATCCATCAGGCTTCCTGCCCTCACTGCGGGGAGGATGCTGCTTCAGATGGCCCTGCGGTGAGGAGCCACATGTCTCCTGAGGACACCACATCAGCCAAGGTGGACAAGAGGAGCTGCAAAGCCACCAAATCACTGGCAGCAGCCATGAGGGTTTCCTTCGAGGTCTCCCTCTCAAGGACTGAGCAGATTTAATGCAGCTTATAAGAGGCAGCGATGGTGCATTTGGGGTGATTCAGTTTTATAGCTCTTGTTTAATTGTTTCTCTCCTAGAAATACAATATAATGCAGCAAAATATATCTGCTGGGCCAAATTCTTTGCTCACACATGGCTTACACCAGCCTCTGCTGGGAATCGGGGCTGTCTGGTGCAGGGCTTTGGGACCTGCCGGGGGAATCCCCATTTTAGTCTCTCCCTTAAAGCCCCAGAGTGAAAAAGGAGCTATTCCAGGGTGAGACTGTTCAGAGAGTGATGTCCTGTCCTAGATCACAGGCAGGGTTATTCAAGGCTTGGTTTTAGCTGTTCCAGGCACCATACTACATGGCTAAATTATTGCCTTAGGCCCCTTTCTGGGCAGGGGATGAGCATGGATACCCCCAGGCAGCCTCGAGGGGCAGCAGGACTTCTGGCAAGCAGCTGGTTACGATGCCTCCCCAGCTCCCTCCCGCTTGGACGGGATAATGACTCGCTGCAGGCCCATAGCCAACGCTGACTAACACAGGCGGCACCCAAGCTCAGCTGCCCAAAACTTTCATGCCCTGGACTTCAAGCAAGTCCTGCAGAGTGCAGATGCACACTTATTCCCAAGCACCTGCAGCCCCAGTCTGGCATCCTGAGGAAGAGTTAGGGGAGGTGCAATGTCTAAATCACAGTTTAACCGTAGTAAAACAAGGCTGTAGCATAAAAAAGCCAGATCCTGATATCCTGTTACTCTTACTCTTTCCAAGCCACCACCATAAAGTGCTTCACAGTCTGTCTCTCCAACCTCAAAGTACACTGCATTAACTGCAACATCATCTATAGAGTTAATCCTGATGGACAGAATTAACTGTAAATCTCAGTACTCCCATCCACATCCAGCTGAATTCCCTCCCCAGTCCATGCTTCCCTGGGACCTTGCTCCAGTGCTTCTCCAGTCCCACCCCTCTGTAGAAGACACAGCCCACCCTGCCCTCGCCAAACCCCTCCTGTAACCCTCTTCTGTGTGGAGGATTTGCAGGGTGATCATTTTTTGTTATCCCCCCAGTAATAACCCTTTGGTCATTTACACCATCCCTAGGTGTGCAAAGAGCCTGGCTGCCAAAAGTCAGAGAATCCTGGGGGAGGTGCACACAGGAGCCATTTGGAGAACCTTGGAAATATGGCAGGAAAAAATCCTTTTTAATCCACAGCTGGAGAGCAGTGGATGCCAAATGGATGGCAACGCTTGCCGGGTTTTTAATGTCAAGTCAGTTTACAGTCCAAGTGGTTAAAGCATCATTACTGTCCAAACCCACTTTGTCTTCTCTGTCAGCGAGCTCAGGTTTGGGCTCCGCAAGTTAGAGCTTTGTTTCTCTCCCACCCCGAGCTTGAAAATCCTGTGCTGTGAAGCTGGGCGAGGGCCACTGCAGGCTGCCTTCCCCAGCCCTGCTCAGGGTTTCCCTGCCACATCAACAATAAAAAAAAAAAAAAAAAAAAAAAAAAGTGCAAGTACAGTCTCTGTGTTATTTCTGGCAGTTGATATTGCAAATTTAATAAGAATCTAGATGATAGAATGTTGCAGAAATAATACTGTATTTACAAGCCTGGGGTAAATACTTTTCCAAAGAGACTTTCTCTGAGCCCATGCTGTAAAAAAAAAAAAAATGCTGCAGTTTAAGCTATGGCTTCGATTCAGTCTGAAATGCAAACCATACATTCAGCTCTGCTCTGCCAGTCTGACACACAGACAGTACAGCATGTCTTTGCTAGAAATTAGGTCCATTTGCCGGTGGGCATGCTACGGACAAAACCCATAAAAAGGCTTAAGAGAGGACTGCTTGTTCCAGGATGCCAATAAGTAAATAATATATACCCTCGCTCATCAGAGGGACATACAGCATGGCCTGGGCTCCGATGGCTCAGCTGAGAGCCTGTGCAGCCTGGCCACTGGGGAATGAAACTTTCTAAGTGTGGTTGGGAGGGTTTTATCCTTAACATTGTATTCCCGGGACGCTTGAACCTTGGCAGAATTTGAAGCAGACAAGCCTGTTTTCAATTTCTTTTCAAAGTGCATCAAATTGGCTTTGTTGAGCTTGAAAGAAAAGAAAAACAAACCCCGAACTTCATTATCCAAGAATGTAAGAAACAGCCCTAAAACTAGAAAGATGCCATGGAAACATGTGGCCTTTAAGAACGGGATTGATCCCTGCTTTCCTCTGGCATCCAAAACAGTGCTCCTGCCACGGTACTGGCATCACCAGACCCCTCCAGCAGCAAATCCCATCATCCCAAAGAGGTGCCCAAGGGAGCCGGGACAGCTCAGCCATGGCCATGTCCCTCTTGGCTGCCTGCCTGCCTGCCTGCCCTAGGCTCCCAAGCTCAGAGGATTTTGCCACAGGCCAGCAGTGAACAAGTTAAAAGCAGATATGGGCATTTATCTGGATGCACATGGTATTTTTTGCAGGGTATTTTTTGCAGGGATAGTGCAGCACACAGAGTTGTACCTACCCTCCCAGCACCATGCTCACTGCCCACCCAACGAACCGCAAACCTCGAGCACAGCAGGAGACACAGCCCACCGTGACCAGTTTGAACAAAGACTGCTTGAAAAGCAACTGGGAAACCTCCTCTGGCTGCCCACCGCCTCTGGGAACATTTCCAGAGCCTTGTGCCCAACACGTGGTGCTCGCGGCAGCTCCCGGCACACCGGGGAAAGAGGCTGAGAGTGGGTACATCAACCAAGTCCGGGAGGGGAACAGCCCTTTCCCTTTGGTTTTGACCAGGAGGTTTTTTGGCTTGTAAGGGGATGGCATGTGGGCTGAGCTCACTGCTGGGGCCCCATAACTGTGCTGAGGATGTGGAAGGAGATAAAACCCCTCCACCCCCTGGAGTGACTCTGGGCAAGCTGAGCAGAAGGAAATCCTTGGCAGTGTCTGTCGCCCATCATTCAAGTGCTTAAGTGCCTTCCTATATCATCCTGCTCGGGGAAGAGAGATGGCTTGCAGAGCAGGAATTTACTAGAGACAGCTATTAAATTATGACTGCCAGCCTTCAAGGTAGCTCTGGCTCAGAGGAGGGAACTGGGCTCACCCTGCGCAGCTGGCCCCAGGGGGGGACCACTATGCTCCCCCCACACGTGGGTCCCACCACCACCTGCCTGCACCTGCACCACCATGGGGCGTGAAGGAAGGACGTCCCTTCATGCGGCCTCATGAGCCATCAAAGTGGCCGTAATTCCTAGCAGACCTGCACCAGCTGTGTGTCTGGGGTTGTTTCCGCCAAGGATGCAGGTTTTTTCCTCCAAAACACCCTTCAAGTGGGGAGGACCACAGCTCCGCTGCATTTCGGCACCCTGAAGGCCACCTTGCTTGGTGCCAGGGCAGGGACACAGCAGGTAGGCACTGCCTGCCTGCCCAGGGTGCCCCTGCAGCCCTGCTTCCATGCCTTGCTCCTCGCGGGTGGCTTGGGAAGCTCAAGCCAGGCACCGTGGAGGTGGGAAGGGGGACTGTGCTCCCACAAACCATATGCAAGGGAGTCACTGCGAATGCTGGGTGGGCTGAAACCCGGGCGATGGAAACCTGATATATTGCCACATGGTGCTGGGCTCTTCCCTGCAGAGTCAGCAAAGTCCTCAT